TGGGAGGCAGCGGGGGAGGACCGGTGAACCTCCCTGACCGGCTCCACACGTCCCGGTGGCAATTTCCGGGTTGTTTCAAGGCAGCTTCCCAAATGCTCTCTATCAGTCTCGAAATGAAGTTAATTGAGCCTTTCTTAGGCTGTCTTTGGGAGGACCCTCCACAATTCGATATGCAGCAGCATTCGATGCTGTGAACTTGCAGGCTAAAGCGGCAAAACTCAGGCACGGCTTCAGCCACCCTGCCTTCATTAACAAGCTTAGCCATCTGATAAAAGCAAGACACAATGTTTCAAAAGGGGTAACCATTCTGTGTCATCGTTAAGCGAGATCTCTCAGAGGTGCCACTCTCCCCCTTCTGATGCCGCTTTTGGGTCTTACTGACTTCCTATTATACAAATTCTACTGGGACCAGAGCTAAAAACATTACTATTATTTTAAGGCGATGCACGCTTCCTGTTAAAATGTCAGAAGCTGGTTGCTGATTCTGCTTCTTGTAAAATCTCTCTTTACAGTTCGAGAGACCATTATGTTAGCAGGAAAAGAAATATGCCCACTGCTGGTTTTACCTAAGAAAGAAGTTGCTGTGGTTGTTGCACTGATGGTTGGATTACAGTCATGCAAACTGTTTGGAGAATGTCACTCATGTGGACAGTGCTGCCCTGAATCCCAGAAGAGGAACCCGAAGGGATCACGTGAGGGGGCACCTGGGGCCCCCAGTGGCCAACCCATGCTTCTGGCAAGCCGTAAAAGCCGCAGACCTCCCCTATGCTTTGCCCCGCAGCTAGCTGGAATTCCGAGACACACACAATTCTGAGACCGGTTTGATCGCCTCGCGGTCCAGGGGACTCGCAGGAGTCTCCTCCAGCACCACAACTCAAAGGCCTCAGTCCTTCGGCGCTCAGCCTTCCTTATGGTCCAGCTTTCACAGCCATACATTGCAATTGGGAAAACCATCGCCTTGACTATACGCACTTTTTCTGGCAGGGTGATGTCTCTGCTTTTTAGTATGCTGTCTAGATTTGCCATAGCTTTCCTCCCCAGGAGCAAGCGACTTTTAATTTCTTGGCTGCAGTCCCCGTCTGCGGTGATCTTGGAGCCCAGGAAAATAAAATCTGTCACTACTTCCATTTCTTCCCCATCTGTTTGCCCTTCAGTCTACAGGCGATGCCCTCTGAATGAGGTCAGGAGCATGTGGGTGCTAGACGGGGCATTCTCAGTCGTGGCCCCTCATTTCTGGAGCTGTCCTCCTGGGGCTTTGGGATTAGCCCCCACTGTGAATATTATATTATTATTTTATTTTTATGATGCCCAATGGCTGAAGCTCTCTGGGTGGTTCACAGCAATACATAAAATACAGTAGAATTACAGTATAAAAATACAAATCACAGTAAAGCATTATAAAACATACAGGGCAAAACTTACAAGCCAAATTTAAAAGACTACAATAGCTAACACAAATGCAATCACAAGACCTGTTAAACAGCTGACACAATCCCCCTATATATTATTTAAAGCTGATTAAATGTTCTGTCTTAAGTGGGCAGTCCTAAGCTGGTAGCAAAAAGCTCTCAGTGGAGAGCTTGTTCCAGAGCTGTGGGGCCACCAGCGTGAAGGCCCTGCCCTCATTGCCACCAATTACAGCTTCCTCACACATGGCAGTCAGAGGACAGGTCCCAGATCGTTAGCATAGTGTCTGGGTCGTTTGCAGTTAGGAGAGGCTTGGTTTTGGGCCTCCAAAAGTGCAGCTATTCCCAGAGATGGGGCACTAGGTGCCTGGAGGCTCACAGGGTGACAATTGGCCTTCCCTGTAGCAACGAAAAATACAAGAGACTCCACCATCTTTTAGTTTCATTTTAAATCCTGTACTGTATTTTAAATTTTAGAGAGCCTCAGCTATTAGGCAGTACAAAAACGAATTAATAAACAAACAAGTAAAGCTTTGTACCACTGCTAGTTCTTACCCTGCTATAAAGTCCTTTTAACCATTTATTTTTATAGTATATTTTGTGCTTTAGGGTTGCTTTAAATTGCAGTGAGCCACCCAGAGAGCCTTGGTTATTGGGCATGATATAAATGTCATTAAAAAAAATAAAGCCATTTCTGCTTTGGATCATCGGCTTTTTCTCTTGCCGCATTCCCAGACCTCTGTTGGAAGAGCTGCCCTGCCTGATTCTGGTCGAAAGCAAAAGATCTGTCAGCATTTCCCCCCATCTGCAACAAGTAGCTGGTCAGCTGTCTGAGCAGAAAGGCAGAGATCACAGTTTTCTACACTGTGGTGAAAGTTACTGTGATTCTATTGAAATAATAGCTTCTCAACATGCATCTGTAGGTACAGCTTAACATATGTACATTTTATGCAAATTGCTGTCCTCTTGTGTCTCCTTTTTTGGAGATGATCTTGACCTTTTTTCGGCAATTCATAAGTGGTCACTCTAGTTCAAACTGCGGAAAACACTACAGTTTTTTCTTCTTCTTTGGCTCGCACACAGAAAGATGGGAGCTTTTCAAATCTTGGAACTGCCTGATGGAGAAACCAGAAGCTTGGGCTGAATCCACAGTGGGGGTGGGAGCCTCCCTTCCCCCCCTCTTCTAGGCAGAATGTGGCCACATGTGTCTCCCAATTTCCTGTCTGTGTGGAGTGCAACAGAACCCTGGAGGCTCCCAGGACCTGAGCGCCGAGAAGGGAGGGGCTCTTGCAGTTCCCCCCGTGATGTGCAAAAACTCCCTGTCCAGCTCCGCAGCCAGGATGTGGCTGGCCAGAGACAAGGCCAGACAAGAGTGACAGAGGGACCAGGACAAGGGCAACAGAACTTCAGGAAAGACAGAGTGCAAACATAAAGTTTTATGGAAAGTCCAAATCATAGCCATGGTGCAGGTCGAGGTCAGGAACCAGAAGAATGCATGAGGGCAGAACAAGGACCTGGTTGGGAACGAGTCAAGGTCAAGAAGCAGGAGGACAAGCTGAAGTGCAGGGACCTTGGACAGGGTAACGGGGCGGGAGACATGGCAAGGCAGGGCTCATGCAAGAACAGGAACAAGATGCAGCGAGGTTCAGGCAGGACGCAGGGGTTGAGTCACAGCCCGCAGGAAGCCCTGCGTTACTGAGGCGATACAGCCAGGCAAGATACATGGGAGAGGCAGGATACAGGTCAGGCAAGAGGCAGCCACCAAGGCAAGGCAACCTGGAAAGGCAGGAACTGTTAGGCAGGATGTGGGCACAGCAGGTAGCAGGCGAACCTGTGTGGCTGAGGCAACAGGGCAAGGCAGGAGACAGGGCAAGGAGCAGGGGCAGGAGCAGGAGCGGTCAGACGGAGGGGCGGCATGATGTCCCTCTATAGGTGCCTCAAAGGCTAAGGCTGTCACAGAGAGGACGGTCAAGACCTCTTCTCGCTCATACCAGAGCGGAGGATCCGGAATAATCAAGTCAAGTGGCAACAACCCATGTTTAGGTTAGATATCAGGAAAAGCAGCATCTTCACTGTTAGGGCAATAAGACAGTGGAACCAGCTGCCTGGAGAGGTGGGGGCTCTCCCACACTGGAGGCATCCAAAATCAAACTGGGCAGCCACCTGAGTGGGATGGTGTGAACTGGTGTCCTGCCACAGCAGGCAGCTGAACTTGATGGCCTTCTTGGCCCCTTCCAACTCTACTATTCTATGATTCTATGAAAAAGAAACTGGGACAGCCCTCTGAGTGGGATGGTGTGATGTGGTGTCCTGCATCAGCAGGGGGCTGGACTAGATGGCCTTCAAGACCCCTTCCAACTCTACTTATTCTGTGACTCTATGAAGGTGCCGGCAGCCAGAGCATGCCTTTGTATAGCTCTCCTCCCAGGATCCCCGGATGCACTCATCAGGAGAATGCAGTGGCGGTTGCTCTGGTCCTGGCCACCACAGCAGCCCAAATCCTGACACTACCCCTACCCTGTGCAAAAGCTACAAAAAGCAGAAGAACAGGATTGGCTGGGATTTTGCCTGGACCACCAGCAATTCCATGCTGGAATACAGAACCTTTCTCTTGTGGATAAAGTCGCCACCCTTTTTTCTTTTTCCTACACCTTTAGCAACAGCTTGGCAGACTGAGACGTATTTAGCGATGTATTAATCCCTGGCTTCTTTAAACCATCCTTTGTCCCTGCAGCTAATAGAGTGGCACAGAAAGGCCGTGTCTAAAATTAATCAGCCGAAAGACCAACCCAACAATAAGCCATCTGAGCAGCAAAGATCAGACCTGTGGCATCGCCACACTCCAAGCGCCTCGGTGGACAAAAATATTTTGACCTGGCCCCAAAAGGACTGCAGGATCGGTGCCAGTTGCGCCTCTACAGGGAGAGCATTTTAGAAATGAGATGCCAATGTGGAAAATGCTCTCCTGCGGCAGACAGAGGCGTATCACAAACATCCCTTAACAACGGGAGCTGGAGAAGAGACTCTCCTGAAGATAGCAGTGCTTGAGCAGCATGCTATGGGAGGAGGCACTCCTTCAGGACTTTGGATCCCGAGCCATGGAAGCCTCTTGAGATAAGCACCTTGAATTTGACCAGCAGTGCGGTTCTTTCCAAACTGGTGCAATGCGCTCCCACCTGGCCACTCCAGCAACTGTGCTCTGCACTGTTTGGAGTTTCCAGATCATCATCCAGGGCAGCCCCAGATGCAATGCCTCACAGTGGCCTAACCGAGAGATCAGGGCACAGATCGCCGTGGTCAGAACTTCTCCATCCAGGAATGGTTGCAGCTGAGGAAGCAGCTGATCAAGGACACGGCATGCCTCCAAGCCCACCGGACCCCCAAGAATCAAGGACAATGTCCATGAGAGGTAACTGCTCTTTCAGGGGGAGAGCAACCAGCGTGGCGCTGTGGTTAAAGGCCTGGAGCTGGGCTGCCGGTGATTTGGTTTCCAGTCCCTCCTCAGGCCTGGAGCTAACTTTGGACACTCAGCCCAACCTACCTCACAGGGTTGTTGTTGCAGGGAAAGAAGAGAGTGATATGAGCTGCTTTGATTCCTTTTTCTAAGAAAAAGGCAGGATATAGATCAAATAAATAAGTAAGCCCCATCTCGAAGAGGCTGAACACCCGATTCCTGGACAGAAGAACTATATAGTGGCAGTCCTCCATTTTAACAGGATTCAGCTTCAGTTTATTGGCCTTCATCCATAATCAAATCTGGACAGCAATTCAGCACCTGTACAGCCCCACGTGACACAGATAGAGAGAGAATTATCAATCAATTAATTAATTAATTCTATGCCACCCAATCGTTGAAGAACTCCAGGCAGCTCAGAACAATTTATCAAAGTGCAATGATAAAAAGGATACAATTAAAAAACAGCTATAATAAGCACAGCATAAAATTCCAATGTACAAAATTTTAAACCGTTTAAAGGGTGTACAACAATTCAATAAAACCAACCTGTTCAAAAGAAGCAGACATATCCCATCATTCACTGTTTGCAAGAAGAGCCTTAGCCACGGGTTGTGAACAGATGGCTAAACGTCTGAGGGAGAAGATGGGTTGTGGAACCACACAGCACAAACGCTGCTGCCCCCCCCCCCCAGCCGCCCCGATCGCTTTCTAAAGTAGGAGCGAAACCATGGCATCACTAGGGAAAGTCCAGCAAGACTCGTGCTCAGCTCTCCCACCTGGGTCACCGAGGCTGCTGAGATGCCAGAGCACGGACTGGGACAGGCCAGGGTCAGCTCCTGCAGCCGGCCTCTTGCAAATGCCCCTTTCCCCGCGAAGGGGAGTGTGAACCACTGGGCAGCGGGGGTGCTCAGCTCCCCTGGCCGTGGAGAGCTCCCTAAAAGCAGACGACCCACAGCCCTCCTCACCTTCTGTGTCCTGAGACAGCTTTGCAAAGAGGGCTGGCTGCATTCAGTGGATGGAGCTGTGGTCTTTCTTTGCCAGCTGCCTCTGATCAAACATGTCCAGGGAGAAAGTCAGATGACTGGGGGGAGAGGGGAAGAAAAGGCTGGGCAGCCCCAGGCTGTGCAAAGAGTTAACAAGCCGGTCAGTTGTCATTGGCCAGCCAAGCAACGCCTCTTCGGGTTCCTTGCTCATTATTTTTTCCTCTTCCCCTTTCCCTTAAATTATTATCAAGCTAACAAGTCCGGGCTGTTTTTGGGCCAGAAAGGGGTGTCAACTTCCAGACTGCTTGCTCTCTCTCTCTCTCTCCCTCTCTCCCTCTCTCTTAAAGCTTGTTTAATCTTTAATGCAAAACCATTGAAACATTATGCAATCCCAGCAAATAGGGGCATTTCGCAACAGTGCATCAGGCCCTCGCCGGCTGCCTGAGAGCCCTCTCCCTTCTCCCTCTCTCTCCTACTCCACCCCAGGGGTGGGAACCCACACGCCTTGCTTGTCTTCCCCCAACACAGGTTGCTGCTCACCTGTCCTGGGCTCTCATCCTTGCTCGCCGCTCAGCGGGGCAGCAAGTTCTAGTGATCAGTGAAGGACCGGAAGCTGCGTCAGCTGTGTGAGACTGAGATGGGGCGGGTGGGCTACGTAGTCCAGCATTGCCTATTCCACCAGGCAGCAACCCTCTGAAGAGCAGGCAGAGGCATTTGTAGGCTTGGCCCCCTCAAATCCTCCGGAGCAAAGGCAGACAAGCGTTGCCTCGCTGCATGGTGGGATAGCAGGATTGTGGCCCCTGTCGCCCCTGCCCATTGGCTGTGCTGGCTGGTCGGGCTTGGAGTCCAGCAGCCTCCAAAGCAGCCTTTTCCAGCTCCTCCAGATGTGGCAGGACTGCCATTCCCATCATCCGAGCATGCTGCCGGTCCAGGCTGGACCCTTCTACATGCGCCGCACGTGCTCTTGCTTAAGCGGTGCTCCCTCCTTGTCCCGTGCAGAACCGTCACGCCAGTGGGAAGTCAGAGCGGCCAGCAGTTCATCTTGCCCTTCTCTCGTGTCTTTAGGCACACTGGAACGGACCAGGCCTCTCGCTAAGGCCGCTCTTTCTCGGTGATTTATGCACACAGGGAAAGCCACACGGGGCCAAACGCACGGGAGAGTCCTCCACTCTCTCTCTGCCTGGGGCTGCAATGGGAGCCGAGGGGCACTGCCTCGCATTTCACAGACCAAGGCAAGAGGTGCCGATGGGGCTTCCATACGGAAAGGCCATCCCCGGCTGCTGCTCTGCGACATGGAGGGCAACCAAAAGCCACCGCATTATATTTCCCTAATACTCTCATCAGGGCCAAACAGGAACAATCTGGCCATGAGGAGGTCCCTCCTTTAGTAGGAGAGGAACAAGAAGTTTGGAAACGGAGCACATTGCATGTGATGGCCGAGAGCCTTCTTCTCACAAGACCCCAGAGCCCTGGACGGCTCGACGCAGCGATGCCTGCACTGGCATCCAGCTGGGTCATCATCAGCCGCGTTCTCCTGAGCCGCCGTCTCGTGTCCTTCAGTCGTTTCTTGCCCGTGTTCCCGGCGTCCCTTCTGCTCCCTTGCCGGATGTTGCTCTCAAGGGCTCTCCACCCACTGGAGCGCTGGGTTGAGGCAAAACCCACTGACCCTTCACATGATGCTGCTGGAACGTGTTACTCACAGTCACAAGATGACGAAGCCCCGTTCCAGCAGCCCTCCAGCACACGCAGGAAGAGCGCCGATTTATTCCAGTCTTCCTGCTCGCGGCTCTCTGTCCCCAGTTCCCCACGCACAGCGGCTCAAGGCGTTAGAAGGAGAAGATACGGCTGGCATCTCGAGCCCGACACCCTCCATCCCCCTTCTGCGCCCCAGCTTGGCCTTCCTTCTGCCATGGCACCCCAAGGTACCCTTCAGTTCAGTGCTTCATCCACCAAATCTGCCCCTGGTCATCAGGCCTTCCCTGGTTGTAACAACATGGAAAAAGTTCAGAGTTTGGGCCGCTGGTGCCCTTCTGGCCACAGAATCATGGAATAGTAGAGTTGGAAGGGGCCAGGAAGGCCATCTGGTCCAACCCCTGCTGTTGCAGGACACCAGTTTACACCAGCCACTCAGAGGACTGTCCAGTTTTGCCTTGAGTGTCCCTAGTGTAGGAGAGCCCACGAACTCTAGGCAACTGGATCCACAGTTGCGTTGTTCTGACACTGAGAAAGCCTTTCCTGGTATCTAGCCTGAATCTGGGTTGTCGTCGCTTGACTTGATTCTTCCATGTCCTAAACTCAGGTATGAGCAAGAAGAGATCTTGGCCTTCCTCTTAATGACATCCTTTGAAGGACTTCTAGAGGGAAACCTTGTCTGCCCCTCAGCCTCGTTTTCTCCAGGCTGAGCATGCCCAGTCCCCTCAGTCTCTCCTCACAGGGCAGAGTTTCCAAACCCTGGATCCTTTTTGTTGCCCTCCTCACGGCTTCCGCCATCCCCTGGCAGGATCAGGCAGGTCCCCTGGGGGGTTCTTTGAAAGACCCCCCAGGAAGCATCAGAAGGGCTCTGACCAAAGGCTTATCCAGTCTTGCATTCGGTTCCCACAATAGCCAGTCAGTAGCCAATCACAGTTGGAAGGGCCCAGAAGGCCCTTGGGTCCAACCCCCCACTCACTGCAGGGCTCCAGGCTAAACCATCCCTCCCAGATGGCCGCCCAGCTGCATCCTGCATGCCTCCAGTGCGAGAGAGCCCACCGCCTCCCCAGGTCACGGGTCCCATTGCTATATTGCTCAAACAGGAACCTGCTTCCTATATCTCGAGCCCATTATTCTGTGTCCTGTGCTCTCGGGTGACTCAGAAGAGATTCTGGCCTTCCCCTGTGTGGCAGTCCTTCAAGTATTTGGAGAAGGTTATCCCATCAATAACACCCTCCCAGATGTGTTTCCCAGCAACCAGCACGGAGAAACACACCACCTTCTCCTCTGTGAAGTTGTCTCATCCCACTTTACAGCCACGCATGTCACTGATCACCACTTCCCGTTCCGAAGCAAGTCGATGGACGATGCACAGGGAAAGGGGGCCTTCTTTTCATCCATTGTGAACATGACCTGGGGACACATCTGGGAGGATGCTCACAAAACACGTTTGTGAATATTTTATATACTGTTTTAAGAGTAGGAGAAAAAGCTCTACTTTCTCCACACCATGAATAATTTTAGACATTTCTGCAACTTGCTCAGCCTTTCCGTAAGCTCAAGAGCCCCGGCTGTGGCAACTTCTTTGGCGAGCAGAGATGAGCTGCCCTCGCAGTGTTTTGGTTGCCCTTTCCTATAACCTCTTCTGCTCTACAATCCCCTTCTTGAAGTGTGGTAACCAGAACTGCCACAGTACACCAAACCTGGTTGCAATGTAGGTTTGTTTATGAGCAGTGTGACATTGGCAGTTGTACTGTTTATGCCTTACCTAGTATTTATTTTTCATTATTATTTAATAGATTTAATATTTAATACTGTTGACCATAAGTCTAGGCAGCTACAATACTCAATATTGAGTAGGCCTTTTTCACAATGGCCACAGACTAACTGGGTCACCCTTTTCTTCAAGCAGTCCACCAAAAACCCAAGTCAATCAATGCCACTCCAGTATACCATATCATGAGAAGATTTCCCCCCCTCCCCCCAGTTGGTCTATCATGTTCATGACCAGTCAGAACCCTGTCATGAAACTTCAGTGTGGTATCCTGGTTTTTCAAAACTCTGAAGAGATTCAATGGGTTGTTGTAAAGTGTCCATGCTTCACCTGGGAACTCCTAAGGAAACACCACAGATTCCAGTGGAAAGAGTGGCACTGGAAGGGGCAGCTCTAGGCATCTCAGCTCTACTGCAAGAACAGGCTCATTCAAGCACGGCCCCACAAGAACTTGCAGGGTGGTTGGCGTTGGCAGTTCCCCAGGCAAGCTGGGAGAAGCAGGAAAGCGTGCCACCTGCGACAGGTTGCTATGTTTTGTGAATCCAGTCACTGGCTGGATTCAGACAACAGGGTAACCCCCACCCAAGGGCTGAGCACGGGTTGATGGCAGCTCATCATTTACTGTGGGTCGTTCGCAAAACTTGGCTTATCATGTTTCAAGAACTTTTCAGAGTTCAGCAATAACGCTCAAACTCAAGGGTTGTGTTATTGTGTTGTCTAGAGCCGGATGAAACACAGGAAACGTCTTCTGCTGGCCCAGGTCACATGATCACTGCGGCTCACATGATCACTGTGGCTCACCACAGTAGGTGGCTCAAGCTGCCGCCTAAGCCGGTGCCCTTTCCCTGGCTGCTTGTCCAGGCGGGCAGCATGCCCAGTGGCTGGAGTATCCGAGGACGATTCCTGCCTTGGGCAAGTTGTGCCAGGTAATTGGGCAAATGGCCCCAGGCCCACGCTGGCCCACGCTGTGGGCAAAGCAGGCCACCCTGGAGGTTCTCCAAACCAAGCCCCCGAGCCAGGCCACGAAAGGTGGCTTCAGCTGGGGGCGCACCAGGCCTGGAGCCCCAGATCTCTCATCAGAGCCTCAGCTCTCCGGGAGGCCCCCTCCCCCACCTGCTGCTGCCCAGGGGCACCTCCTGGAAGATGGGGAGCCCTGAGGGTCTCGTTGCCTCTGAACTCCCTGGATCAGCTGGCTTTGTGCCCACCTGTGCCTCCCCTCTGCTGCCCGCTTTGCATTTTTCTACCCGAGTATTTTTCCCCCAAGATCAAATGCCCTCCTCTTTGCTCACGTGTCCCTTTCTACAAACGGGGTGCCCAGGAGACAAGGCTCCTTTAGAGACACGCACAGAGAGACTTTGGAACACATGTAAATTATCGTATGCAAATCTGCACATATTTCTGGCTCTGGCTCTGTTCAGTGTCAAGCGCTGCCCCAGAGACGATGGCGTCATCTCAGCACGGTCACTGCATTCTGCGGGGACTGAGGCGGCCCCATCCCGAGCGTACCTGGAGGGACCAGAGGCCGAAGGGCTGCCTCCCTGCATGCAGAACAGGAGCCCGCACGCCCCACACGCCCCCCGAAGCCCCTGTGCACACCTGCTTCCTCCCAGCTTTAAGGCTTGGTG